TTTTTTTTTTTTTTTTTTTTTTTTGGTACCAGGAATTGAACTCAGGATCTTGCACTGGAGAGGCAGGCATGGTGCAGCACCACTGAGCTAAATCCCTGGCTCCCTCCTTTTGCTTTTTTATGCTACTGTCATATGAAGATGATAAGTACTATAGATGTTAATGATCTGTTTTGTGATCACAGATTTACTTTCTTTTTGAAATGTTATATAGGCCAGGGCAGTGATGGTGAACCTTTTAGAGTCGAATGCCCCAACTCTAACCCCAAATCCACTTATTATTACGAAGTGCCAATATTGCCATTACTCCTAAATACAGTACTGAGGTTTTAGTTTAGAAAACATAACTCACACATAAACATCTTTTATCTTAAAAAAAGAAAAACGCGTGCCATAGGTTCAGTACCATCAGACCAGGGTCTCAGACAGAGAGGAGGTTATTTTTGTCATCTTTTTCTTTCCCGTAGATTTAATTTAGGATCTTCTATGACTGATTTATATAAAATATCCTATTTAATTTTATCAACTATATTGTACCATTCATTAAATGTGCTATATTTTACATTTCATAAAACTACATTGTACTCTCATTAAATATTTCAGGAAAGAAAGTCATTACAACTTTTTTGAATTTGTTTTTTTTGTTTTTGTTTTTTTTGGTACAGTCGGTCAAACTTAGGGCCTTGCGCTTGCAAGGCAGGCACAGTGCCACTGAGCTAAATCCCTGGCCCTGATAAATATTTTCTTTGAATGAGATCCCCTAAGTCAAATAAATTTATAATTAATTGTGAGTGGACATACAGGCTGGCCAGCTGTGCATATTATACTCTGAAAAAGATTGAAACAAAATGGAAAAGCCAGTTGTTTTTATTTGCAGTATTGCTTACTTAGAAGATCATTTAGTTAGAAAAAAATACAATTAAAAGGGTATCTTAGAAGAGAAAATTTTACCCGATGCAATAATATTTTGCAAAATGATAATAGTTGTCAGTTTAGGTTGTAAGCAATCCATTTGTTACCCTTTTAAAAAAATTTTCAGAAAAAATTAAAGAGGACATTTAATTCTTTTACTCTCATTTAGAGCCAGATTAATGTCTGCTGATTATTGCAGTGCATTTCCTGTATTGAATCAATAATCATGGGTTTTTGTATTGTCTATTTTTATTTCCTTGTCTTTTAAGGGGAATGAGTATTTACTGACTATTTCCTTCTTTGTTATCTTACAGTTGAATCCTTGGCCTGAATATATTAACACACGACTTGAGATGTATAATAATCTAAAAGCAGAACATGATTCCATTCTAGCAGAAAAGGCAGAGAAACATAGCAAGCCAATTAAAGTCACCCTGCCTGATGGTAAACAGGTCGATGCAGAATCCTGGAAAACTACACCTTATCAAGTTGCTTGTGGAATTAGGTATAAGCCACATCCATCTTGACTTTCTATGGTTTATAATTTAACTAAATTTTATTTTACTTTGTTTCTTGTTTTAGTCTCATAATATTTTTATGATGCATATAATGTTTTTAATTTACCTTGATATTTTTAGAACTCTGTGGAGCTTTATAGCTGAGTCAATTTCTGAAGGTGTTCACCTTTTCTGTCTTATAAAGTTCATGTTATTAGTACTTTTGCTTTGATCATAAATGGTACAAAGCCATGTAGATGATGTTTCGTTAGTTTGACCTAAATGTCTCAGTTTTGAAGTTGAAAATGAAAGTGGGTTGTCTTACATGGGAAAATTAATGGATATATGATACATGAAGAATTTATGCTATATAGACCCAAAGATATACACAATTTTAAAATTTAACTGGGTTCTCCAGATGTAGTGGCACACACCTGTAATACCAACACTCTGGGAGGCTGAGTCAAGAGAATCGAGGATAAGCCCAGACTGGGCAACTGAGCCAGACCATGTCTCAAAAATTAAAAAATAATAACACTGGGTTGGGAAGAAATTATCTGAAGTAACTGAGAATTAGATACATATTAAATAATACAGCAAATGCTTTCTTAATTTGATCTGATGGGATCAGTTTATCAGAACATGGTAAAGTTGGAGAAGCATAAATTTATATAGCTATGCATAAGTGTGTGTTTATGTATACGTATATATCTTGAACTGTGTACGATATGACCGTGGTCATAGCCTATTATCGTATATGTATAATATACCTAAAAGTATTTAATACCTAAAAGTATTTCTTGTAATTTTAAGTGAAGGAAAAAAAAAAAAAAAGCTATGAGGAATGGGCAACAGAGGCTTTGTATCCCTTTACAGAAAAAGCTTGCCAACATGTCATAGTAAAATTTACATTAGGGCCGGGATTTGGATCAGTGATTCCGCCGTCTGCCTTGTAAAGTGCAAGGGCCTGAGTTCGATCTCAGGTACAAAAAAAAATTTACATTAACCTTAAAATATGTAATGCGTATATACTCACTCCATGCATGCATGTATATGCATACATATACAAAAATATATTGCTGAGGTTTGAGAAAGTCTTCAGTACAGAGTCCTTCCAGATTTTTTTATGTAATCCACACCTAATTTGACAGTATTTTATTCATAACTTGCCTTTATCAAGCCTTACAAGATGTTCAATTTGGTTTCATAGAAACCATAATTCCCTCATTGAATATTTATTTATTTTTAATATACTTCACTGTCAGTGATATATGTGCACTCATTTATAGCAGCACGGTTTGTAATCGCTAGAACTTGGAAACAGCCATTTGCCCATCAGTTGGAAAGTGGATAAAGAAGATGTGGTATTTCTACAAAATGGAATATTACTCAGCCATAAAGAATGAGAAATTAGATTCATTCATAGGAAAATGTATACATTTTGAGGATATACTCCTAAGTGAAATAAGTCACGTGTGTAAATACCAAATAGTTTCTCTGGTGTAATGAGATAACTGACATTGTGAAATGGGAAGAAAAGGGCTAAAGGTGTAGGGAAGGTGGGCTGGGTAGGGCAAGGGTAATAAGGGAAAAGAAAAAAATGTGAGAAAATGATAAAATGGAAATAAAGTGTTTGTAAGTGGGGAGGGGAGGGGAGGGGGTGAAGGGAGGGCAGGGACAAGGGGAAAAAATGAGAACCAAGACCTGTCATGTAGAGGTACAAGATCCCAATAATGAATGTAACTGTACTGTATACCTTAAATGTACCAATAAACTACATTAAGAAAATTATTTAACTGTATCACATATTGAGTTGAACCACATGAAATCACCATATGAATTGCCGAAAATGGTTATCAGCAATTCCATGTTTTTGAGGCTGAGATATAAAGTATTACTTAATGTAAAATAGCAGTGTTCTGAGTTTTCAGGATCTTCCAATTTTATTCTTGGGTACATTTTTTGGCTTATTGAAGATAAATATGGTGGGGTTTTTTTTGTTGTTGTTCTCAAGTTAGGTTTTGTGTGAGAGGAGATTATTTTGTAGACTCTTGTGTTTTCATGTTGATGTTTCCTTTTTCAAGTCAAGGCCTGGCCGATAACACAGTTATTGCAAAAGTGAACAAAGTTGTTTGGGACCTAGACCGCCCTTTAGAGGAAGACTGTACCTTAGAGCTTCTTAAATTTGAGGATGAGGAGGCTCAAGCAGTAAGTGTCTATTCAGTGTTCACCAAATTTAGGATAAAGACAAGACCCATGCCTTTGAATATATTCTGACTCATCTGAATGACCATCTTAAAACCAAATGCTGCCATTTGATTTCAGTGTTCATACAGTAGTTGTCCTTGTGTTTTATTATTGTGTTGTGGAGTTCAGTTGTACCCCCATGTTTGTTTTGGGCCAATGAGATAAAAAAAGATGTAATTTATAAATTATGTTCCGTAGCCAACTAAAGGCTAGATCATATGTAGCATCTGGGATATGGGGCTGTAAGCACAGTGACTCAAAAGAACCCAGGCTGTTGCATTCAATAAGACAGCCATGCTGAATAACAGTCGTTTTCAGATCACAGACTCCATTCTCTATAATGATGCTCATAGAAATACAGTTACATAATTAAAAGCTTTTTAATTTTGGTTATAGATAGAATAACCCTGTAGTTAATAAATTCTTAAATTTGGATTTTTGTTTATTGCATTTATTTATGATAAATTTCATCAGTCTCTAAAAAACATTAACTCACAACTTTATATACCAAGGCTGAAGCCATCTATTTTTCTTTGCTTTTTCAGGTTTATTGGCACTCAAGTGCTCATATCATGGGTGAAGCCATGGAGAGAGTTTACGGTGGATGTTTATGTTATGGTCCACCAATAGAAAGTGGCTTCTACTATGACATGTACCTTGAAGACGGGTAAGTTATATAACTATATAATGAGAAGTGAAATCTGAATGATTGTGGGCCTGTAAGTTATTTTTAGAGTTCTCAGCAAAGGAGGAAGAAGGATTAAAATTCATTTCTTTATAGTTACCAAATACTCCAGTGGTCAAAACTTGAAGTATTTCAATTCACTGGTGTTAATAGAGGCTCTGATGAGATCTAGCTCTGGACTGATGGAGGTAGAGCCGTATGGTACATTGGAAAATAAAAATGGAACTGATCCTATCCTCTTCTTTACACCTGCTAATAGAATTAATTATCAGTGGGAAAGTTCATCATGATGACCAAGATAGAAGCTACTGAAAATGTGAAAATTTATGACAAATATTTTAAATTTTTAATACATGATGGAAGGGTATAATTTACATCTTCTATAGAAATATCTCTCAAAGCCTAATGTGATTAGAGTGGACTGTAGAGAGATTTATACTTTCTTGTCATTTAGAGGTGTGTCCAGCAATGATTTCTCGTCTTTGGAGACTTTATGTAAGAAAATCATTAAAGAAAAACAAACTTTTGAAAGATTGGAAGTAAAGAAAGAAACTCTATTGGAAATGTTTAAGGTAAGTTGAACTTAACTAATAACCTCTACTTCATTTGTTAATATCACTTGAAACAGTTTTTTTATATTGGCATATTTTTATTCCTGTTGTGTTCTAATAAATGTACTTTGAATTATATTTTAGCTATAGTATTGAGAAGTAAAAGTTAAGGAAGGTTTAAAATTCTTTTTCCTATTTTTAGTACAACAAGTTTAAATGCCGGATATTGAATGAAAAAGTAAATACCCCAACTACAACAGTTTATAGGTGAGACTATCAAATGTCATTAAATGCAACTGATATACTTATGAATTTGTTTTTAATAAAATTATTTTCATTTCATCTTTTAGGTGTGGCCCCTTGATAGATCTCTGCCGGGGACCTCATGTCAGACACACTGGCAAAATTAAGACTTTAAAAATACACAAAGTAAGCAAAATAAAGATTATATATACATATATTTGTCTCATAGGTATTTATATGTTTAAGCTTTCATTGGTTTTCCTTTTTACCGTTTTTTTTTTCTTGCATATGTTGATTTCTTTTTTCATGCTGTCTCCTAAGTGGGTGTCTTATATATACATATATACATATATGTATTTCTATTGTCAGTTTCTCACTAGAGACAGCACATGAAATAAAGGTGGGAGGATTCACAGTATCATGCAGTTATGGGCTGTCATGCCTCTGAAAGTTTTTCAGTCTTAATATAGGACTATATGCTTCTCCCTGTGTTTCTTAATAATTACCCAAGTTCTTAATGCAACTGAGCATGTCAATTTTATACTGTTTTATAGACATGGTAATTATTAGATTGTACTTGAAGTCATTTCAAGACTTTTTTTCTTGGTTCATTTCCATTTTTGCTTACTTTGTGAGGGATGCTCTTACAATTAGAATAGTGTGTGTGGAATTGTGATCTGAGTGAGTATTGAGGGAAACAGTTAACTTTGTGTTGCAGAATGAGTGCACTTTCTCTAGATTTCGAAGCATTGCAAGACATTTAGTAGGTATGTGCCTTTTATGCCAGTTTTCTCATCAAAATGATTAGTAATGTGGTGGAACGTGCCTGTAATCCCAGCACTTGGGAGGGTGAAGCAGGAGGATTGTTGAATTTGAGGCTACATAGCAAGGTCATGTCTTACAAAACATAATAATAATGATGATGATGATGATGATGATAGTAATAGTGATAAAGGAAAGATGGGGAGAGGAGAAGCGAAAGCGTAGACTAATTAGGATGAATTTGACTTATAAGGTGCTTATCAGAAATAACATCTCAAGTGAGGTGTTTACAGATTTGGGTGTTGTATCATGGATGATCTTTGTTTTCAGAATTCCTCCACGTACTGGGAAGGCAGAGCAGATATGGAGACTCTCCAGAGAATTTATGGCATTTCATTTCCCGATCCCAAAATGTTGAAAGAGTGGGAAAAGTTCCAAGAGGAAGCTAAACACCGAGATCATAGGAAAATCGGGAGAGTATGTTGAAGAACAGTGATGTGTCCAAATTGCCTTTTCTTAATTTCACTGAAATCTAACTGACGTACATACTGGAATTTCATTTGGAAGAGATGCTATAGATTTCCAGTGTCTATGGAGTCATGTACTTCATGAGCTATAAATACTTAACTAATTGTTCCATAATCTTTTTAATGACTACTTTTCCTGAGAGAAGTGTTGACCTACAGTTCTCTATAAAAAGAACATTTTATAGAGAAAATAATTTTGTAGAGCTGGAGAACTAGACTTTATAAGCTGTCTAGTCTCATGTAGAAACTGTCTAGTTTCCCTGTAAAGATAGGAACTGAGTGCCAGAAAGATTAATCAACTTGTTTCATAAGCAAGTTGTTGATGGATTTTATAATTTTCTCCTCCCATTTCTCTACCCTGAATGTTCTCTAAGCTGGAAGTTAGATTTGATAAAAATATCCCTTCCTAATATGGGGTTCCAGCACTGAGGACGCTGGCATCTACTGGTGGATTCCTGCCCCAGGGCTTTGGACATTTGATTGTGGTCATGGTAGGGCAAGGATGTAGGAGAAATGTTCACCATGACCCATTTGAGGGATTAAAAACTATGAACCTTAGCATTGTTAAGTAAACCTGACTGGATTTAGGCAAGGGATGGAATTGGACTAAGTTGTAATCAACTGCAATAATGTGGTTAAATTATACTCCGGAAACATTGACATGGTTTCTTTTTATTTAGGATTGATGCTAGTTAAACTACTAAACATCATAACCATTTTTGAACTCAGGAGTGCTGAAGCTAATGTTGATGGTGCATGTGTGTGGGTAACAAGTCTTTTGCTCTTCTTTTGCCCAGGACCAAGAACTATATTTCTTCCATGAACTTAGCCCTGGAAGTTGCTTCTTTTTGCCTAAGGGGGCCTATATTTATAATACACTCATGGAATTCATTAGGGTAAACTATATTTTTTTATTTTCTTCTAAAGATTGAGGATATAAGATGATTTAAATAAATAAGGTCTGATAAAAGGCAAAATAATATGTATTTGCAAAGAAATACATAAAATGATAAAAGTAGAAATTTGGAGTCTTACAAATTGTTAAAGATTATTTTTTCCGAACATGTAATTTTGTTCATAGATAATATATATATATATATATACATACATACATACATACATACATACATACATACACAGAGAAGTTGGTGATCTTGATGTGGGACCCGTAGCCTTTACGTAGGAGATTTGTGCTGTTTTTGATGAAAAAATTTGTATTTTTCTTCCGAAAACAAATTAGTCTTCATGTTGTTTCTTTTTGAATTACAAAATGTTTCAAGCATAAATACTGTATATAGGGAATAGTATTAGCCAATACCAGTACTAACTACATAATTTAACACCTATTTACATTGGGCTGTATTTGCTTCATATTTTCTAAGGTGTTAAATCTTATGTGTGCAATTAAGGAAAAAAAAAACCTTGGGCCCCCTTTTGATCTATCCCCCTTTTTCTCTACTATTTTCAAGTGCCATGGATCCTTGTTCTGTTTTATTTACGTCTACCTCATACCTACATACCCTTATTTATGTGTTTATGTATCAGGTCTGCATTAATTGTGGTCTTTGCTAGAGACATACAAATCCACTTTATTTGTACTGGTTACATATTGTATTATTATACACCTACTACAGTGTGTTTATGCTTTTATTGATGCACACTAATAGAAGTCTTAATTTTCCCATATTGCTCACCATGCTGCAGTAGCCTCATTTTCATGAGCCTCCTTATGTTCTTGTGTGAGAGTTTCTTCTTTGGTATATACCACAGGTGGGATTTTCAGGTCATAGCATTTGTATTTCTTGAATTTGACTAGATAGTGTAAAATCAGTCTCTAAATTTTATCCTTCGGAAGGATAAGCATTGGTTTGCCTGCATGTATGTCCTGTTTGTTCTCTAACAGAGTGAATATAGGAAAAGAGGATTCCAGGAGGTAGTCACTCCCAACATCTACAACAGCCGACTCTGGATGACCTCTGGCCACTGGCAGCACTACAGCGAGAACATGTTCTCCTTTGAGGTGGAGAAGGAGGTTTTTGCTCTTAAGCCCATGAACTGCCCAGGACACTGGTATCAGCAGCTTGGAGTTTCTATTAAAAATTTTCAAATGTTACAATTACATCTAGATTGCTTTACCTCTTTTGAAAGAATTTTTGTTTAAAAAAAGAAATTATGTAATCAGAAGAATATTTACAGCATTATTGTTTTGTAATAGCTTCCATGACCAATTAGATTCCCAGATCTGTATACATTCTGGAGTGATGCTATGGGGTTATAGTAGTGAACAAAGCAGAATATAAAGCTAGAAGATTGCCTGTGGGGTATAGCAAATTCTCTAAATATTTATTTTTTTCTTTCTTTTTTTTTAAATGAAAGAAAGTGGTGTGGCATGCCTGTAATCCCAGCTACTTCAGAGATTGAGATGGAAGGATCCTGAGTTCAAGGCCAGCCTAGGCAAATAGTAAGAACTTATATCAAAAAAGAAAGTAAAGAAATATATTCTTTCCAAAACTATGGCTAATGAATTAATATCCTTAGAAAGTCTTTCTTGCCTTGAGGCTGCTCCACTTTCTGCCCTTGAGAGATGGATAAAGAATCATTTCTGGGAGGACTTTGGAGAGCTCTTGGGTATTGGTTGTTCAGTATTCACAGCTCCTGATAGGCCTTATGGAGCAGAGGAAATTAGAAGAAACTTGGTAAAGAAACTGGATTATAGGTGTCAGGGTATCAGAATCACCTGAGTTCATTCTTAGTTTTCCCAGGTTCTGAAGCACCTTCTGACTAACAAGCTGAAGCACTCTGGGGTCTGATTGGAGACCAAATCCAATTTTATTTTCTAAATTGTGTATATAGCTAACATTTTCATGGTACTAAGGATTGAACCCAGGGCCTTCACACTGAAGTACATCCCAGCTGTTTTTAAAATTGTTTTAAATTTTAGATAGGTTCTTAGTAAGTTGCTAAGTTGCCCAAGCTGGGCTCAAACTTGAAATCCTCCTACCTCAGTCTTGAAGAGTACTGCGATTACTTAGGCATGTGCTACCACTCCTGGCTTTTTTTTTTTTTTTTTTTTTTTTATTTTCTTCAAGTTGGTTAAAAAGTGTCACAAGATTTTTGCATATTAAGGACTCGAAGTTTTAAAACAAAAAGGAATTTAGGGTATCATTCCCAGGAAAAAGAAATATATCTGGGGTCAAGTGTGTGCCATCCCACTATTTGCCTAAATTGTACTTTATTCCCAATTGTTAATTTAGCAAGGTACAATGATGGAAATTAATCATCGCCGCACAAGGACCTGAGTTTGATCCT